ATATTTATTTATTTATTTTTAATGTATATTTTTATTGATTTCAGAGAAGAGAGAGAGATAGAAACATCAATGATGAGAGAATCACTGATCGGCTGCCTCCTGCACGTCTCCTACTGGGGATTGAGCCTGCAATGCCAGCATGTGCCCTTGACCAGAATTGAGCCCGGGACCCTTCAGTTGGCAGGCTGACAGTCTATCCACTAAGCCAAACCGGCTAGGGCCAGGGTGCATTGTTTATATTTTATATTTAAATAACTATTTCACCTAGAATTCATTTCTGTGACACAGAGGTTTAGCTGTTTTATCCCAGGTGGTTATTCCAGATAGATAAACAAATTTGCTAATTCCTTTGTCAATTTATATATGTATTTATTTCCAGCTTTATTAAGATACATTATTTCCATTTTAAAAAATATACTTTTATTGATTTCAGAGAGGAATGGAGAGAGAGACAGAAACATCAATGATGACAGAGAATCATTGATCAGCTGCCTCCTGCATCCCCCACACTGGGGATCGAGCCCGAAACCCAGGCATATGGTCTGACCGGGAATCGAACCACGACCTCCTGGTTCATAGGTTGACGTTCAACCATTGAGCCACACCAGCCAGACCATTATTTCCCTTTAGAGTGGATTTATTCAGGATTCTAGACAGTTCCACTGACCCATGTGACTAATTGGTGGGTTGGTGTTATCTGTAACAGATGAAGGGACACATTTAGAAAGACTAGCTGACTTGCTCAAGATTCCAGAGCTGAATCCAGGTCTACCGTATTCTTAACTACCACACTACATTGGTTCTCTTTGGGAAGAATATTTCCTGAAAATTCCAAATCCCCTGTTTCACCTGCCTAGAGAAGTAGAAAGGCATGAGTTAGTGAACAGTCCCAAAATATCACCATTCCACTCCCTATTCCTATATATTTTGGCCCTAACTTACCGGAGCAGTGTATCCTTGCCCAGGCTCATGCAGAGCTGATTGCAGGCGACGACAAGACTGGTGATACGCTCGGAAGGCGTAAAGTCAATGCGCTGCTTCGTGAAGATGGGCACTTCTTTCTCTAGCTGGGCATTCACATACCCTACAGGTGAGAAGCAAAGAAAAGGTTAGCTATGGAAGAGACGGAAGAAAGGCAAGAAACAACAAAAAACAGTGCTCCTGCCTTAGCCCGTTTGGCTCAGTGGACAGAGTGTTGGCCTGTGGACTAAAGGGTTGCAGGTTCATTTCCAGTCAAGGGCACATACCTCGGTTGCAGGTTTGATCCCTGGCCCTGGTCAAGGAGCGTGCGGGAAACAACCAATCAATGTGTCTCTCTCACATCGATGTTTCTCTCTCTGTCTCTACCCCTCCCTTCCACTCTCTCTAAAAATCAATGGAAAAGTATCCTAGGGTGAGGTTTAACAACAACAACAAAACAGTGTTCCTCTCCACTTTCCCAACATATGCCTGCCCAGGGCCTTGGTTAAAAACCAGTATGTCAAGTAGTTTGCTAATCACCTCTGCATGAGGGGTCCTGGGCTCTTCCCACACTTCTGACAGAAGTGAGGAATTGATTCTTTGACCCCCTGGGATGCTGTTATGCCATGATGTACCTGCTCCCAATGGTTATGGGGGGGGGGCAGTCGGGGAGAAGGGTTGGGCATTTTCCCTTATCAATCTTTGGCCCAGCAACCCCAGCTCAACGAAAGTCATCTAGCTTCACTCTCTCCCCCCCTCCCTGCCCATGCAGTAATGCTCTCAGCGAGTCTCCAGAAAAAAAATGAGGGTACAGGGAACCCGGGAGAACCGTTCCAATCAGTTGGTTAACAAACTGCTTTCTCTCTGGCTTTACTTCATTCCTTTACCATTGCTCAAAACCCTCAGCACTTCAGACCCCGCTGCCAATTCTGTACTACTTTCCACAAAAATGTCTCCTCAATGCCAGGCTTCACCCAGCTCTAGCAAAGGCCTGAAATACTTCATTTTCCCCCTGTTCAGGGACAAAGTTAGCTCTGGACCATCCCTCCTTATACAACATCCCCCTTTCACCAGTTTCTTTCCCCATTCTCTTCCTCCCACCTCCAGAAAGACCCTCGAGAAAAGCACAGACTCAGATGAATCTTGAAGCCTATTCTCAGTTCTCCCAACTGCAGCCTGCAGGCAAGTTACTTCCTTATCTGGGTCCCAGTTCCCTCTTAGAAGGACCCTAGAGGCAGGGCCTAGATCACGCGGCTGCTCTTGCTGCTCTTTCAAACTTCGACCACCACCAAGAGAGCCTGCGGAGACCCAGGGGCCCAGGAGGCGAACCAGAGCTCTGGGAGCCACCCTCCCCACTCCGCCCCCGCAGGTGCCAGGAGAGCTGAGAGGGCGCCCTCCCTTCCCTTACCCGAGTGCGGGATGCCCACGCTGGGGCAGCCGGGCTGCAAGACGGCCGAGCGGGACAGCGAGTCCTCGTATTCATCCAGGATGGACGCCATGGTGCCTGGCCTGGGGACTCGCCGCCCCAGGGATCACAACGGGGCTTCCCCCAGGGATCCCTGTCGCCCCGCCTGGAGCCGGCGACTCCCCAGCCTCCACCGGGATCGGACAGACCCTGGCGACCCGCCGCCCTCCTCCTCTTTAAAAGCCTGAGATCTTCTCGCTGTCGCCTTACAGAGCGAGGTGGCTCAGGAGCGCTCCCCCTTGACCTGGCGCAGTCCCGCACCCCACGCCCGCCGCCTAGAGACCCCCGGCTCCCGTTAGCGGAGCCCAGGTGATCGCAACCTTGTCCGGGTAGCTCAGCTGACTCCCGCCCCCAGGACGCGCGCCTACAACGTAACTTCCGGGTTCTCAGAACCTCACGTGCGCCG